TGTCGGCTTCTTGCGCCAGGCCTTGCAGAGAACCTAGGGTTGCCTGGTGGGGAGTGGCAACTCTGGAGTTCCTTCCTGGGGGTGCGAGGCCGGGGTCTGCGTGGCCGGGGGTCGGGTGTGACCCCGAGCGCGCTTCTCACCTGTCCGTTCCTGCCCTCCTCCAGGCCTGCCCTTGTCCTCGTCGGAGAAGCTGTTCCGTTTCCATGAGGTGGGGGTGCTCCTGGGCCTCCTCGGGAAGCTGGCCCTGGGGGGCGTGCTGGCCTTTGGGCTGGGCTTCTCCGAGTTCCTCTTGGTGTCCAGGACCTCCAGCCTCGCCCTGTCCATCTCTGGGATTTTCAAGGTATTTGGCCAGACTTCCTCCCTCCCTCAGACGCTGCCGCCTCGCGGGGAAGGCCGGAGGAGGCCTGGCCCGGCCCATGAGCGGGGGGCTGCTTGGGGGGGGGGGGCTCTTGGTCCCAAGGCAGGGTGGGTTTTCTCGCGCCTCTGTGAGAAGCTTCCCTTTCTCTTTTGTGTGGAATAACTCCTTGCTGGGCCTGGGGAGTGGAGGCTCGAAGGCCGGGGGCCCCCCCGTCTGTTGGACGCCCGGACTGTAGATTCAGGGTGTGGGGGTGGGGGAAGACAGAGGTCCTGGGGGAGGGGGAGCTGCTGCCAGTCGGAGGCGTGCGCTAGGCGGGGGAATGGTCTGACGGGGCATGTTGGTGGGGGCCAGAGGGGGTGCTCGGTCTGATGGGACTTCCCTCCCCCCTGTCCTCCCTCCCCAGGAAGTCTGCACTCTGCTGCTGGCGACTCAGCTCCTGGGGGACCGCCTGAGCCTCCTGAACTGGTGTGGCTTCGCCGTGTGCCTCCTGGGGATCTCCCTGCACGTGGCGCTGAAGGCCCTCGGCCCCAGAGGTGAGGCGGGAAGGGAGGCGCCCAGGGGAGGCCCGGCCACACGGGGGGGTGCAGCGACTGACACTCCTCCCTCTCTCTCCACCCAGGGCCCAGGGGGATGAAGCCACGCAAGGAGCCCGGCTCCGGCTCCGGCTCCGACCTGGACCTGCTCCTGCTGCACCATGAGGAGGAAGGGGGGGAGGCCGAGAGTTCCCCCCAGCGCTGAGCCACCCGCTCCAGGAGCTCCGCTAGAGAGGGCTCTCTGGCAACGCTCCCCCACAGCGAGAGGTGCCCCGGCCCCGTGCTGGTTTCCCTGGGAGAGAGCTGGGCGGGGAAGTCTGCGGGGGGGAT